TTATTTTTTATAAATATATATTTTCTCTGTTTTTAAATGTTTCGAAATATGAGTTTTTAAAGTATTTTTATAGATATTAAGATAATATTTAATTTAAATATTTTGGTAAATATCAAAAGCTATGTAGTATTTTGCTAAATAAGAAAAGATATGGGATAGTTTGGTAAATACGAAAAGATGTCAGGTATTTCAGTAAATACGAAAAGATCTGGAGTATTTTAGTAGTTAGAGCAGTTCTAATGGTAGTACTTAGAGAGGTTCTAGTTGTGTTTTTGATTTAAAAAAATGTTTTAATGGGATAATTAGCTTGAACCGTATCTTATTTTAGAGTTTGAAGAGCTTGAGTTGAGCCTCATATGTGTTGCTCAGTTATTTGTGGCGTGTTTTTAATTTTTTTTTTGTTTTTTTTAATCAAAAACTCTGGTTTAGGTAGAGTCTTTGTAATGTTTTGTATTGAGAATTCTATCTTCTTTCTTCGACTTCTACCTTGGTGGTATCGAAGTATTCAGAAAGGCGATTCCTTTCCGGTAGATTCTATCTTGGTGAGTCGATGGCGGCGGCGACACAAGCTCCTTCTCCTCCGGCGTTCTGCTTAGACTCTGGTGGATTCTTCTCATCAAAAATGCTACCAAGTCCCGGAGCTTCTTCCCATATAAACGAGACCGATCCAAAGCAATTTTCATAGGCGGCGTCTCAGATGCTCTGTTCAATGGAATTGAGAACAGACGAAGCTTAGGAGTCGCACAAAACTGTTCAACATGAGCCGCTTAGTCATGGATCGAACTGTGAACAGAAGAAACGACTTGATTCATTGGCTTTGATTCATTGGAATATTAAAGAGGTAAAACTATTTCCTTGATTCATTGGCTTTGTTGTTAAGGAATTAGGCATGTGTTCGATTGATTAGGGTTTAGCTTCATTAGCTTTCTTTTGATCCTCCTTCGTCCTGCGACGATTTTGATTTGTGTATGTGTGGAGGATAGAAATCATGTATGATGCTCTGATCAATGGATTGGCTGGAGCTGGTGGTGGGATCATTGCTCAACTCCTCACTTATCCTCTCCAAATCAGGTTTTTTTTTTTTTTTTTTTTGCTTTTGGTAAATCAATCTCTGTAACACACATCCGAGAATTGAATTCTTTTGGTAAACCTTTTGTTTCACTTCTTTTATAGTTTGTTTGTTTTTGTTCTTGAGATTAAAATGTAATGAGTTCTGGTTTTGATGTAGATGTATCGGTTCACTGTGCATGGATATCGGTTCACTGTGCATGGATATCAAAGTTCACCAAAGGAGTCTTATCTTTGGAAACTTACCGCATTAACACAAAGGTATGCTTTTAATTGCACCACTGGCAGACTGATCATTTAGTTGTTAAATAAATAGTGTAGATTGAATTAGGCATAGCTTGGGTTACCGAGAATTAGGCATAGATTGATTTCTGTTGGCTTTGTTGTTGTTTATGATCGATGATGTGAAAATAGGAAAGATTATGCGAACATGTATAATACTTCATAACATGATCGTAGAAGACGAAAGAGGTGGGTACACTCAGTTTAATGTTGAAGAATTCACACAAGTAGAAGCAAACAGAACTTCACATGTGGATATGACGTATTCTACCTACCGATATGCCTTCAAATCTCACTAATATTATGGGCATCCGTAATTCAGTTCGTAATCAAACTACGCATGACCAATTAAAAGAAGATTTAGTTGAGCATTTATGGAATAAGTTTGGTACAACTCAAGATTACAACTAATCTTATTATTTCTGGTTTATGATTTGCATCTCTCTTTTGTTTTGTTTTTCTGTATTCTATGTCTAAATTTCAGATCAATAAAATAATTTGTATTAATAAAATGTTTGTATTTGAAAAATTACAAAAAAAAAAAAAATTATTAGAGCTTCCCTTAAGATCCTACCATTGGACACTAAAACAATAAAAAAATCTATAAAAGGCTCTAGTGCATTAAAGTGAACAAAAAATTATTAAAAATAAGATTAGAACCCCTTATTAGACCACCTCCAACAGCAGTTTTTAATGAGTTGTTAAGAGGTTATTTGGGTTAAAAATAAAGTTTTAATGGTTAATTAAAGCAGAAACGTCTCTACTTTTGTAGTTTATAGAGACTCAATAGAGACTCATACGTGGCGCGTATTGATTGGCTAACGTTTTTATATTTTTTTTTTAATTTTTTTATCAAAACCTCTAAATGAAAAGGAAGCTTTTCATTTTCATTTGTAAAAACCAAGAACTCATTTTTTTCGAGCAAACCCATTCTCTTCGATATCTCCGATCTTCAATCCAAATCTTCTCGGCGTGAAGCTCCGGCGGCAAGTGAGCTCCAGTCATCCGAGGCGGTGTCCAGTCGTCCTCTCCAATATCGAGTTGTCTGCGTCTTATTTTGAAGGCGGTGGCGGTCAAGTGGCGGCGAGATAAGACGTCATCGATGAAAAAAATCAGGGGCAATTCATCGAGCTTGCCAAGTCTGGGCCATTTGATCAATCAAGCAAAGACATGACCATGCATCTGCACAAATAAGTTCGATTTTCTCTTCATAATTATCCGAGAATCATTTCAGTTGTTTAATTAGGATGGTGTTGATGTGGTTTCTGCTTGATGGTTTGTGATGGATGGAAATAGGCATTGAATCTGTGTCTGTAGTGTTAGGTTAGCATTGGAGACTCGAATCAATGCTTTGTTTAATTAGGATGGATTTCTTGTGCTTTAAATCGGTGGCTGTAGTTTAATTAGGTGTTGATGTGGTTTCTGATTGATGGTTTGTGATGGATTGAAATAGGCATTGAATCTGTGTCTGTAGTGTTAGGTTAGCATTAGAGAGTGGAATCAATGCTTTGTTTAATTAGGATGGATTTCTGTTCTTATTCTTTATGTCACCTATGATCAATGCAAAGGTGTTATCGGTTAGGTAAAAACAATGAATGCTAACTACAAGAACAGAAGTTTTCTGTTCTAACTAGAACTTATGTTAAGTCTTGATCGTTTAACTCTCTGTTGAATGCTAACTATAAATTTAACTCTAACTCTATTTGGTTGCTAACTCCATCGTCAATACTTAGCCTATATATTGGAGGTAATGTATGTTTGTTTTTGATACCTTCTTCCACTATCTTTCCTTTCTCTCATTTGTTTTCTAAACCTCTTCCACACTCTTTACTTCTTTTTTGCTTCGCTTTGTTTAAGAACCGACAAACACACAAACCTCTTCAACTCTCTTGCTGTAGTTCTTTCTCATCCTTTAAAAAAACTCATTCACCAAAAGAAATGGATTCAACAAACCCTTTTTCCGACCATTCAGGCTTCATGGAGCTATTAAGTAGCCAGCAAAACTCATCCACAAGTTCCAAGTGCAATGGAAACTACCATTGCACTTGGTGATTCACAACCTCTCGTTTTTGAAACACAGTGGACTGATGCTCCAAGTCCAGTTGAAGAGACTGTCAAAGAGAAAAGGTCAAGGAGGCCATGGACTCCAACTGAAGACCTTGTGCTCATAAGTGCATGGCTTAATACCTCCAAGGATCCCATCATTGGGAATGGGCAAAGAGCTGATGCGTTTTGGAGCAGGATTGCAATCTACTATGCTGCGAGTAATAAGATATCTCCTGATGAGAAGCGAGGTCCAATCAACTGTAAGCAGAGGTGGTCGAAGCTAAATGAATGTGTTTGCAAGTTTATAGGATCGTTTGAAGCTGCTTCAGCACAAAAAACAAGTGGGCAAAATGAAAATGACGTCATGAAGCTTGCTTTGGATATCTACTACAATGATTACAAGCATAAGTTCACCATGGAGCACGCCTGGAGAGAATTAAGACACGATCAGAAGTGGAGAGGAAGTGGAATGTCCAAAAAAAAAAGAACAGAGGAAGAACAGGCTTTCAGCCATGGAGAAAACGAAGGAGTAACTCGTCCTCCAGGTGTAAAGGCGGCTAAAGGCAAAAAGAATCAAACAAAAGGCAAAGCTGAGAGTGTGGAGGTGAATGAAAAAGCCATGGATATCTATAGAAACATCTGGGAGATAAGGGAGAAGGAGTTAGCCTTGAAAGATAAGACTAACAAACAACAGATTCTCGCCAATCTCCTAGGAAGAACCGACCCTCTTACTCCAATGGAAGTTGAGCTTAAGAACAATCTCATTTCCGAAATGTTGTCTAAGTGATGGTTTTTAACCTTTGTATCATTGCATTCTCGGTTTGTATGTTTTCAATTATGTTAAGGATGTGTTTTTCTATTAGGGGTTTGTCATGTTTTCCTTTAATGTTTTTTTCGGATTTAGTATGTAGTTGTATGTGTGTGACTCTTATAAAGAAGGTCATGTTTTATTATGATTGTCGTTTCTTTGTTTTGATATATGGTTTAGTTTTTAATATTGATAAATGCAAAGTCAAAAAAAAGAGCAATGGTTTGCTTGTACCTGTTCTATAATAATGATATTGGTTGTTATTGTTGATGATGAGCCATTTTTGGTTTGCAGGAAAAAAAGGATACATTCACATACCACTTCAAAGCTTTTGGGCCACCAATTCTATTTTGGTCGAGAGATACATTTTTAGCCGAGGTTTTGAAGAAAGTGGTCGAGGCTTACCAATTTTTAGCCGAGATTTTAAAGTTTGGGCCTGTTTTTGGGTCGATGCTTTTAAAAATTTGTAATAGAGAGTTTACATAAAAATTTTCAATAATGTATCTCAATAATGTTGGGTCCTACTTTTAGTTTGTTTGTATATGAAGACACCACATATTGGTTTGTTTGTATATGAAGACACCACATATTTTTGTATAGGAAGACACCACACATATTGTGTTGTTTGTATATGAAGACACCACATATTTTTTGAAATTGTAAATCTTGTTAACATATTCGACGATTTCAGCTGTAAACCACATAATGAAATGCACATTCTATCCCTATAAATAGAGACATTTATAGTCACATACAAATCACTCTTCTCTCATTCAACTAAAATCACAAACACAATCTCTCCTACACCCTAAAATCGTTCTTTATCATATACACATCTTCTATATCAACTTCATTTATCAACAACAATACTCCCTTTTCAATATTCTCTTAAAACACATCTTATGGCATCTTCTTCTCACAATAATTTCGAAAATATTATGGAAGAAAAATTTGAAGAAGCTTCTGAACAAATTTACAAGCAAGCTTTTCAAAATCTCTTTGTTAATCGAGGTGATCGTCAAAGAGCAAGCAAGAAAAAAAGAGCCTATATTGAAAGAAATCGGGAAGAAGGGCACATGCGCTTATGGAATGACTATTTCCGGGAAGATCCCGTTTATCCACCATATCTATTCCGTCGTCGTTTCAGAATGAACAAACATTTGTTTCTGCGTATTGTTGATACCCTCAGTACTCAAGTTCCATTTTTTCAACAAAGAAGAGATTCTACTGGAAGATCCGGTCTCTCTCCACTACAAAAATGTACAGCAGCCATTCGGATGATGGCATATGGTTCTGCGGCTGATGCGGTTGATGAATACCTCCGGCTTGGTGAAAGCACCGCCATTTCTTGCTTGGAAAATTTTGTAGAAGGAATCATATATCTGTTTGGAGATGAGTATCTACGAAGACCCACACCAGAAGATCTTCAACGACTACTAGATATTGGAGAATCTCGCGGATTTCCCGGGATGATTGGAAGCATCGATTGTATGCATTGGGAGTGGAAAAATTGTCCCACTGCTTGGGCAGGACAATATACACGAGGAGCTGGAAAACCGACAATCGTTTTAGAGGCTGTGGCTTCACAAGATCTATGGATATGGCACGCGTTTTTTGGACCTCCAGGTACCCTAAATGATATTAATGTTCTTGACCGCTCTCCTGTGTTTGACGATATTTTACAAGGTAAAGCTCCAAAAGTGGATTACTTTGTCAACGGAAGACAATATCATTTGGCTTACTATCTGACTGATGGAATTTATCCAAAATGGGCTACATTTATCCAATCTATTCCACTTCCTGAGGGTGACAAAGCCCGCATGTTTGCTAAACGTCAAGAAGCTACCCGTAAAGATGTCGAACGTGCTTTTGGAGTCTTGCAAGCTCGGTTTGCCATTGTCAAAAATCCAGCTCTGATGTGGGATAAAGTTAAAATAGGAAAGATTATGCGAGCATGTATAATACTTCATAACATGATCGTAGAAGATGAGCGAGATGGGTACACTCGGATTAATGCTGAAGAATTCACACAAGTAGAAACAAACAGAACTTCACATGTGGATATGACGTATTCTACCGAAATGGCTTCAAATCTCACTAATATTATGGCCAGGCGTAATGAGGTTCGGAATCGAAAGAAGCATGACGAATTACAAGCAGATTTAGTTGAGCATTTATGGAATAAGTTTGGACATATTCAAGATGACAACTATGTTTAAATTTTAAATTCTGATTTTTTTCTGTACTCTATGTTTTAATTTCAAATTATTGAAATAATTTGTATTAATGAAATATTTGAATTTGAAAAAAATTAATAAAAAAAAATTAGAAACTCTCATTACATACTGCCATTGGACACTTCAAATTTGAAAAGATCTATACGAGTTTCTAAATCCATAAAGTGCACAAAAACTATTAAAAAATTCCATTACATCCCCTAACTACATACTATTGTTGGAGATGCTCTTAGATACCATGGTTAGAGTTGTTTCGATAAAAAAAGTGGACGTTTTATTTGTTTCCTCGGCAAATCAAATTACCGGTTAACTCTAAAATAACACTTAGATACCACTAATAAAACAAAAAGTGTATAGTAATGAGCAAAGTCCATGTGAGACAAAGAACCCAAATATTCATCGGATTCAAGTAGAAGATAGAAGCCGATTATCCGTGACAATTGGAAGATGAAATGCTATAAAAGTGTAAACGGTTTTTCGAGTTATGGCGTTATAAATATTAGATTAGAATTTATGTCTTTTATAATGCATAGTCTATAATCCAATCTAAGATTAAATGAAAAAGACTTAAAACCATCATTATGTTATTGAAAATCGATTATAAAGTTGAAAATTAAACCAAGATTTAGTAAACAGGGGGACGGAGAAGAAAATTAAATCCGGTTTCTGTAATTAAAAATTGATTAGAGATTTAAATTAAATGACACAATCGCTTTTGACGTTGATTCGTTTTAAATATATCAGATATATAAACACATTACAACAAATGAAAAATAACCACATGTTTATAAAATTATTTATTAAAGGTTAAAAAGTAATTTCACTGTCGAAATTTTATGAAAACCCTAATAATAAGCAAATCACTACACAATACAATTAAGTATATAAATACTTTTTGAAAACCCTAATTTTAAGATATCAGTCACCTATCCCTGAAAAAAAAAAAAAAACTCGAAATTTGTCTCAGATTTTAGTTTTCTCTTACAATCTCATAAACCAGTTTTAATTTTAAACCCAGAGTTGTTACAAAAGTAAAATGAAAAACAGACAAAGGGTTCTTGTTTAAGTGTTTGCATGTCTTTTACATTGATCTCAAATTTTGTACCGTTTGTTGTCACTTCTGTAACAACAATGGCGGAAATAAACCCATGAGGAGGATTATTTAGAAAATACCCTCTAGGCCTCTGCAGCTGAAATCCCCAGGTAAACCATAATCCTAATCCAATAGAGATTTAATTCGGAAAATCAGACAACAAGAAAGACAAAGATCTGAAAATTTCACTAAAAATCCAACCTTTGGGATAATTCATGTTTGTTGGTTTGACTATCTCTGGAAATCAGCTGTAGAAATGCTCAATCAATAGATCTATTGTGTTCGTCTTGTTTAGGGTTAATTTAAAAGGAGAGGCCTTTTTGATTGGAGGATGAAAGAGGGGAAATTGAGGTCAAGGGTTTAATGGCAGGATGGTCAAGTTTCAATATTAGTTCATGTTCATACACTGATGTTGAGGTTGAGGTGTTTGATGAATGTGAGGACAGGTTAAAGAGATTGTTTGATCAAGCTCTGTTGATTTTTCTTGAGGAAGAGGGAAATAACAGGCCTCTCCCTGCGATTCTCGGTGAGGGTGAAACGGTTGATTTGTTTAAGCTGTTTGTGTTGGTGAGGGAGAGAGAAGGGTTTGATTCTGTGTCTAGGAAAGGCTTGTGGGAATCAGTGGCTGAGAAATTAGGGTTGGATTGCTCAGTCTCTCCATCTTTGAGGTTGATTTACTCCAAGTATTTGGACCAGATGGAGAAATGGGCAGTGGAGAAATCCAGGATTGTGAATTGGGATAATCGAGATGGTAAAAGGAAAGGGTGTTATGGAGGTTTGTTGCATGAGCTAGAGGATGGATTCAAGGGTTTGTTGGAAAATGGAAAGTGCAGAAAACGTAACAGAGCTATGGCTATCAGTTGTGATCATGTTGAAGAGTCTTGTTCCAAGTTCAATGGGCCAAGGAAGAGATTTACAGAGTGTGGTTTTAAAGATGATGAAGAAGTAGGAATGTCTTGTGTTGTTATTAGTGATGATGATTCTGAGGAAGAAGGTTTAGATTTTTCCTCCGAGAAGCAAGAAACATTATCAGGAATGTTGAAGTGGCTTACTTCGGTTGCGAGATGTCCTCATAATCCTTCCATTGGTGTAATACCACACTGGTCAAAATGGAAGGAATACACCGGTGATGAATGTTGGATCCAAGTGACTAGAGCAAAGAAAGCTTTACTGGTTCAAAGAGACAATGCTGAATTCAGATTTCAAAATTCTTCACTTCTGGTACTGTCTTTAGACCAGCTTTATCTTACTCTTTCTTGCCTTCAAAATCGTCTGCCATAACTGTTGTTGCTACTGCTATGCATAACTATTGCTTGCTTTGTTCTTCTTTCTGTGAGATAGCTTAACTCATGATAAGCCCTTGCAGGGTCACCAAACTATGCATCCTTCTATGTACGAAGATGATCGTAAGTCGACAGGGAGGCTAAGATACAGCGTAAGGCGTTCACAGTCATCCAAACCACATTCTTCCTCGTATTGCAATGGACGTCTGGTCTCTCTAACTAAATCAGGATCTAGCCATTACAGAGAAGTGATCACTGCTTGTGGATCCACAACTTCTGAAAGAACAGATCTTGTTGCAGGAACATCTGGAGCCACAGACTTACAAGTGTACTCAAATGCAATCACAGAGACAAACAAACCAGAGAACCCGAGAAAGTACGTGGCTGTTGGACGTCACTTCCAAGCACGTGTTGATGAATGGTCAGGATCCGGTTTAGACAGCGATACTAAATGGTTAGGAACACGTATATGGCCATTGGAAAACGAAGAAGCTTTAGATCATACGCTTGGAAATGATTTGATTGGAAAAGGAAGGCCAGATTGTTGCAGCTGTGATATCCACCTCTCTGGTTCTGTTGAATGCATTAGATTCCATATTGCAGAGAAGAGAATGGAACTAAAACGTGATCTTGGTGATGTCTTTTTCCATTGGAGATTCAATCAAATGGGAGAAGAAGTGTCTCTAAGATGGACAGAGAGAGAAGAGAAGAGGTTTAAGGAAATGTTTGTTTCAGATTCTCAGAGTTTTTGGGAAAATGCGGCAAAGTGTTTCCGGGGGAAGAAGAGAGAGCAGCTTGTCAATTACTACTTCAATGTGTTCTTGATTAACCGGAGACGATATCAGAACCGTGTGACTCCAAGACGGATAGATAGTGATGATGAAGAGGCTTTTGGTTCTGTGGGTAACAGTTTTGGTCGTGCTGCTGTTACTTCATTTGGTTCAGATATTATGATTTGTTCTCAGAACAGTCAGTGTAATGACTTTGACTGAGAACAGTCAGTGTAATGACTTTGACTGAGAACAGTCGAATGTTAACTCATAATTTTATCTTTTGAGATATAAGTATAGGAGTTTGTGGCTTTTCGTGACTTCGAAAACCAATGCAAAAGGGGTAAACGTTTTGAACAAAATCGACTCTTGGTTTTTCAAAGAGATCTTTTTTTTATTTGATACATTTATTTATTTAGCTTCTGTAAATTCATGCTCCTATTTCCAAAGAGTCGCATACATTCTAATTTTATTTCTCTCTCATTTTCCAAAATCTTCATAATAAGTTGTGGTTTTATCTGTGGCTTTATTATACAAACAACATTATTTCCCCCAAACTCGTTTTAAACGTTTCTTATCTCGTTTTGTACATTGACAATCGAGTTTTTTTAAACAGAACGATAAAATGAAAAATATTTAATTGGTACACCTAGGTTCTGAATCTACAACCCTTCATAATCCACGAACCTAAAAACTAAAAAAAAAAAATACATGATTTTAATCAAGTTTGAGAGCCAAACTGAGATAATTAAATGAAACAGCATTAAACACAACGTATAAAACCCTAAAAACATTCATCCTATTCGAAGATTGTAATCAGTCAGTCAATGGAAAAAAACCAATTCATTAAATATGCATTAACCCACATAGAAAACATACACCAGAACCCTATAAATATATGCATGGTTAATCGGTAAAACTCAATAGTCAAGAAATAGTGAGTGATATATTTTATAAGTATTTGGAGATGAAGAGGCTTATCGAAGTTATGTTCGTCTTCTTCGCCTACTTGATGTGCTCAAGGGCTATGGTGCCTTATCGAGGTTGTGACGTGATCGGGGCAGTTTCGAGAAGTGGATTAGGAAAATACGAGACGAGAGTACCCAAAGAGGATTTTTTCTCTGGTCGTAAGTTAGTTTCTGGTCCGAGTCGTAGTGCTTGCGGCCACTAATTGTCGGGATAACAAGATCTTAATCTATAGTCATGCTTATCTCTGGTTTCATGTTAATTTTCGTTTAAGCTTTATGAACATTTGTAATGAGGTTTAACGTTGCACCTAATGAAAATGAATTGCTTGCAAGTTGCAATAAGTATCTTATTTTGAATGTTTTGTTCATGTTACGCTCGAGTCTTCGAAAACTACTTCAAAAGTTGTGATTATCATTTATTATCCTTATATTCTTTCAGTTTATATGTTTGTCTATAAAAAATGACACTTATTGATCGATGAGCAATGGTCGTTTTTTCACTTTCCAATTGTATGTGACAAAGAACTATTCAATTTCTGTATATGTATAATATAATTAACATAAATTTGGTTTTTAGTCTAATAATTATCCGCAAATTTAGAAATATACTTATCTAACTTGGGTTTGGGAAGAAGAAGAATACAACTCTAACCGGATAAATCCACAAAATTATATATGTACATTGAATAAAAATAATTCCATATTTATGAAGTGTATATAATGGGCCATCTCCTTACTCATATCTAATTTTCTGCTTGTATATTCAGCGTACTCTTTTCGTAGTATATCTCGTCTTACTCTGGTTCAACTTGTTTAATCGTTACAACTCAATTATCATGAAAAAGGTATTGATATATGTTATTAAGTATTACTCAACCCGACTGTTTTCAATTCTTCACTTGATTATCTTTGGACGTTTTGAAAGGAACAAAGTGAGTTGAGATCTTATAGCTCCTCTAGTGTCTTCTAGAAAGTCAAGCTTCTCAGCAATGTCTCTTTGATTAACCATGCTTGAAATTTGAGATTCTGTAAACTTACGGCTTCTCAATTACTTTACTAGATTTATCATATATATCTCGAGATATAATATTTATTATTTACTAGATTTTGGATCTCCATAATGTGTGATCAAATTTTTTATTGAAATATTATTTTTTGTGTATTATTAATTATATATATATATATTATATAAAAAATTATTACGGCGTATATGTGGGATATGTTTGGCCTCTTATAGATAGAACCTGATGATAATAGTGGCGGATCCATGATTTTTTCAAAGGGTGTCAGTTTATCAACTAAAAAATTTAAAAAATATTTAAATAGTAAATGCTGAGATTCGAATCTTAGGTTAGGGAGTTCACTAGGCAATATTTACCAATTATGCTATCATGTTTCTTCATTTTCTATGTACAAAAACAGTTATATCAAAATTTAAGGAGTGTCAGATGATACGCTATCTTTCTTAGTGGATCCGTTACTGGATGATAGTCTAATGTAGAACATAGCCGTGGAGCCTACACCGGTGATGACCACGCTTTGCAGGATCTTATTCACAATCTGGAATATGCGCTTCACATGCTCCAGACGTGATCTAGAATATATCTGGAACATATATTTCAAATAATGGGTAAGATCCTGCAAAAATAGAATATATTGATTTTGTAAAAAATTTATTATGATTATACCTATCAATTAAATTTGAACGCAGACAAAAACTCAATGACATCGTTATCTCTCACCAAAAATCAAACTTAATCGCTATCTAATTGAACAAAAATTTCTCAATACTCAATAATTATTCAAGACCTACGAAAAGAGTAAGTGTATAATTTTGGCCATCTCTTTACTCATATCTAATTTTCTGCTTGTATATTCACGTACTCTTTTCATAGTATATCTTGTTAGTTTCATTTACTTGTATCTAGGCCTTGAATATAACGCAGCACAACATTGAAACGGTCACAAATATCCTAGCCGTCTTACTCTTGTTCAACTTGTTTAATCGTTAAAACTCAATAATCATGAAAAAAGTATTCATATATATATATTATTAGTATATGGAGATGAAATAAGCTTCTGAAAGTTATGTTCCTTTTGTTCAATGGTAAATCAGCAATAGTACCTTATCACAGTTGTGACATAATTAATTTCGAGAGATGGATTAGGTAAGTACGAGAAGAGTGTCCAGTTTTGAGTATATTATCTGCCAATTATAAGATCTTTCTTTATCATACCAGTTACATTCTCTGGTTTATTTCTATGTTGCGTATTGTACTGAGTTTGTACTTAATAAAATGATATGGCTTGCAAGTTGCATGATATGTCGCAATATTAATCTATTATTTCACATTGAATATGTTGTTCATGTTTACGCTTGAACTAAGTTGCTTGAGTCTTTGAAAAATTTTGAAAGGTTGAAAAAAATATTTTGAAAGAAAAGTTAAACCTTTCAAAAAAAAAAGTTCATACATAGAATATTTATTATTTACTAGATTTTGGATCTTCATAATATGTGATCAAATATTTTATTAAGATATTATTTTATGTGTATTGTTAACTGTAATCATATATATATATATATATATATAATTATAACGGTGTATCTGTGGATATGTTTGACATCTTATATATATAGAAACCCATGATCGTGAAATATAGAACATAGCTGTGAAACCTACACCGGTGATGAACATACTTTGTGGAATCTTATACATGATCTAGAACATGCGTGCGTTCTACAGACGTGAGCTAGAACACATGTTCCAGTTCCAGATGATAGGTAAGATATATAAAAACAGAACATATTGATTTAATAAACAAATTGATTTAATAAAAAAATTATTATGATAACACCTATCAATCAAATGTGAACGCAGGCAAAAGCTTAACTCAATGATATCGTTATCTCTCACCTAAAACCAAATATAATCCCTACCTACTTCAATAAAAAATATCTCAATAGTCTCTATAATCACATATACTTACAAGGGTTATTGAACCCAGAAGACTGCAAAACACAATAATTATCAACCTATATAACTGGAGATTCAAATGTGTATTCACATTGTTTTGTTTTTTTTTGAACCTAGTGTGCACATTGTTGTCTAGCTTTGTTTCATTTCTCTATCTTATGGCGTATGTAAACACAAAACTTATCTAAAAATAAAATTTTATACATAAAAGTATTTCTAGAAAAACGTAAGAAAATGAAAAAAAAAAAACTAAACAAACTAAATAGAACACCCACAACTTCACAAATCTTCTTGTAGAACATTTTAGGGCTGGAGAGAACGCACTTCCATCGCTGATGGTGAGACATTGATGATGGATAATGATGACGGGTGGTAGTGATCACATTTCCGTCGCTGATGAACATGACCATCAGGAAAATGATGTGGATTTGGAGGAGGATTTAATTTGGGAGATGGGAAGATGAGAGATATGAAGGAGATGACGATCCTCTTCCACCACCACCATGCAAATGGGAGCGAGAGGAAAAGGAAGATGGAAAATGGGAGAGTAAAGATGTGAGAATGGGTAAGAAGAGTAATTATAAAAAGTAAGTGAAGAAAATCGTCGCCTTGAAATACTCTCATTAAAAAAAAAAAAAAACTCTTTCTGAGCTTTACTTAAAGAGTTTCATGAATATTTAGACACGTTGTTTCTTCCTTTTAATTATGAACATGTTTAGAATATCATTTGTATCCTTTTCTTTATTTATTTTTTATTTTTTTTAGAGTTTTCCGTATTTTCATTTAGAATCTTATGAAAATGTTTATAATATTCGTTGTTAATGTTTAAAACAAAATCCAAACTCAATGATTAACTAGCTACTTAAGGACGTAAGACACGAGTTTATAGATGTAGAAAGTAATTGAATTAACCCCTGTTCTAATAATCCTATTTATTAAGTCATGGATTCCCCTTTTGAATTATCCCTGAATCTCTTCTATAAACTACTCGCTCTTGATCAGAGATGACAAGCTACTGATAACCATCTAGTTGAATTGAAGTTTGGGAGGCTAACTTGAACTCAGGGTTTGGGAGCGTTTGAATTGGGGTGAACTCCAATTCTTCTTCTAATCTCTGTTTATGTCTATTCACTTTGTTTTATTTGCTTTGAATTGATTGGACCATAGTCATAATTGAGAGTACTCTTGCATGGTATTAAAAAAAATCAAGTGGTAGTGACTAGTGAGTTACTGGTTATTATTTGTTGAGGAATTGGGATTAATTTCCCTCAAACTAAGAATCATCTGACTACTCTAATTTGGTTAGACAAATACCAGTTATAAAAGAAGAAAAAAGAATCAGTTATGTTTTAGAAGCCTTAGCAATTTTTGTTATTATACTGAAACGAAACGTTTTGGTGCTTCTTCCCAGTTTATTCTTCACTGGAGTCGCCATTTCAGCATTTCTGATTCTCAAAAAGAAAACCCTAAATCCTTGCTTTTTCTCGGCTCTTTCTCTCTACCACATGTACAATGCGCACTTTACTTGTCAATACAGTTCATGAAGAATGAATCTGAAAAGATTAGAAAATAGTTTACACAGTTTAACAACAATGGCTTTCCTTGTTGTACTCTACACAGTTTCAACGAATACGATTCACATGAGAAAATGGCTCATGGGCTGCTTTTGGAGCAGGTTTTTTGGTGGTCTCCGGTACTCCAAAAACATTCCAGAACCTCAGAGTCTCGTCTCCTGCTGCTGAAGCTACGGTACAACCATCTGGACTCTGTAAGAAACACAACAAACAAACAGAGTTTTTAGAACTAAAGACCTCAAAAAACTCAAACCACTTTCAACATCTAAAGAAATTGATTTAAGTTTTTTTTCTATCTTCACCTGTGCCATATATAGAACTCTTGATGTATGACCAGTGAGCTCAGCCATTTTCACCATGGATGGGTACTTCCAAAGTGTGAGCTGATTCTGTGTAAAACCATGTGAGCTAAGTAACTCTCTTTCATTCTTGCTCCATAACAGAGAACACACTTGGGAGCCAGTGTCTACTGAATTCAAGCAAGCCCCTGTGTGAGAGTTCCAGAACTTAATCGTCCTGTCTCCTCCACCGCCACCGGTTGCAAGCAAATTCGCTTGGAAAGGGCACCAGGCAAGGGCTTTAACTGCAGATGTATGTTCTTCAAGCCTGTGCAGCCATTGCGTGGTCGTGTTCGAGGACGCGACAGAACGATCCCATATGTGTACCACATTATCGTTGCCACCACTTGCTAGCTGCTGACCAGAACCTGACCACTTCAGACCACAAACCTCTTGAGTGTGGCCCCTGTAAGTCTCCACAACATGTGATCTGATCCGTACATCGTTGTTGATGATCAGCCCATCCATTCCTCCGGTCGTCAGGATATGATTGTTCCATGCCAATGATCCAACTCTTGACCCGTGGCCACCCTTCAATGTCCTCAGCTGCATCAACACCTCAGGTTAAGGGTTACGACATGATAACAAACAGAAGAGAGAGAGTGATTTTTGTAGTTAGTTACTTGACGGTTGGATGCAGAATCCCAAAGCTGGACTTCAGAGTTGTTGAGTCCGATTGCAACATGACGACCATCAGGTGCCCAGTTGATACTCGTTACAGGTCCTTTCTCTTCATCAATGGTAACAAGCTCAGATGTGGAACCAGTGGAAGCATCCCAGAGATAAACAGTGTGGCCCAACGCTATGGCTAAGACATTAGCACAGCCCCAGTCAAGCACGTTGAGGTAGAAGTCATCCACAATGTCAGGTGCATCCAAGGTTCTCTCAGAAGTCTATTATTACAACAACAACACAAGTTTAAAAACAACACAACTCCAAAGCAACAACAAGTAAGGTAATAATAAAACACATAACATATACCTGAGGAATGTATCTGCGAGGCTTTAGGGATTTAGGTTGTTGGTGAAGTGAAGCAGAGTTGTCGCTGGGGAGAAATTGGACTGGAGCTTGAGGTTTGTTCCTGAAGGCGAGGATCCTCGTGTGATTCAGATTCATCGTCTCAGCAAGTTGCTTCCTGTAGGCCTCTCTTGATGGTGAGATTACCTCTGCTGCTTCTTGATCTTTACCTTTTCTTCCTTCGGTGAGTGCGTAGTGAGCATAGTCGAAATCCATGGCCGATCTGTTTGGTATGAATCTGTCCAGCTGGTGAAACACAAAAGCAAACCAGTACAATTTCATTCAATATCGCTGAATCTTACATATATATCTCACCAACACAAATTGTCTGCAAGAAACAATCAATGAATTTTCTTAGACTAAACCAATACAACCAACAATCCTAATTCCTAATCGAAACCCCTAATTGAAACCCTAATAAGTAATCGCAGAAGAATGGTATCGATGTTAAATGAAACAATTGAAGAGAAAACTCACATTTTCCTTGGAATTTTTCCTGGGAAGAAAGTGTTCTTGAAGTGGAAACCGAGCCTGCGCTTTCAAGTGCGATGATGTGTTCATACCTGAAACCACAAAGAAAAAATATCCGAAAACAAAAAGAAACAGAAAGCACGAAAGTGATAATATAGGAAACGGATTAGAAGATCTGAAATTCTCTGAGCAATTAAACGAAATTTAGAACAAAGACGTAATCAAATCAAGCCTAAGGAGAAGTAAGCGTTGGCAAATTCGAGCAGAGAGCGCGAAGAGTTGTTCGTCGTTGAGAGCAGAGGATTATATTGATGGAGAGAGGTGTGAAATTTTGGGTTAAATTATATGAAATTGAAGCGGTGGTGGCAATTTAATAAGGTTTTGTTGACTGACCCTAATTTTGTAACGTCGGTAACGGCTATATTTTGTAAGAGTGCCGTTGATGCTTTCCCTTATTTATATGAAATCTTGACCGTAAAATACCGAAATGATCCAACGGCGCTAAAATTTGTTCTTTAAAAAAAAAAAAAAAAAGGTTTCATCTGAAATTAATTACCTTTCTCTCTTGCAAAAGGACCATCTGTTGATTTCAGTAGATTGTTGAGTGCTATATTGCTAAGATGAAGAAGTTTGATGTTGTCATCTCTCTCGGTGAGAAGATGCAAAAGTTGAGAAATCGACATGATCTCTATACTTAAACAGTATTTTCATAAACTATTTCTGCCGCTTCTCTTAGCTCCTTTATGCTTTAGCTATTCTTGGCAAGATGATGAGACTTGAGTATGATCCTAGCATTGTCACGCTTAACTTGCTTCTCAATGGTTTCTGTCACGAGAATAGAGTTTCAGATGCAGTATCTCTGGTTGATCAAATGGTGGAAATGGGATATAAACCTGATACCTTCACATTCAACACTCTAATCCATGGACTTTTTTTCTCCACAACAAAGTCTCAGAAGCACTGGCTTTAGTTAACAGAATGGTACGATCACTTACAGTACATTGATCAATGGACTTTGCATGCAAGATCTTCTAGAGGAGGCCAATGAGATGTTTGAGTTGATGACTAGCAAGGGTTGTCTCCCAAACGTAGTGACTTATAATGCTTTGATAAATGGATTCTGCAAGCATAAAAGGGTAGTATCAAAGAGGATTTGTTGGCAAAACATTCACTTACACCACTCTTATCCAAGGTTTTTTTCAAATTGGAGATTGCGATAATGTCCTAGAATTTTTCAAACAGATGCTTTCTAGTGGTGTTCCTCATGATATTATAACATACGAAATTTTGTTAGATGGACTTTGTGATAATGGGAAGCTAGAGAAAGCATTGGTCATATTCCAGTATATGCAAAAAGAGTGGGATGGATCTTGATATTACTTCACATACTATCATCATACAAGGATGTTTTTGTAGCCGTGTCATTGCTTGGTTAAAGACCTCAGATTATATACCTTCATTAACCAAAAACAAAACCGATCATAATAGGGGACACTTATTAACTTGACTTGTTACATTTCTGATTACGCGTAAATATCTACATAAACTTTGTTTACTGAAGTCTAGTCGTGTTTTGATACATTTTCCCGTCAAGACAACAAAGTAGAAAGGAAAATGACTTTCCAACATACAAAGATATCCCTTTAAATGGCGTTATCACTTCCACGAAATTTCCACACACTTTTAAAAACCGTTTTAAAAAAGAGAAATTCTCTATCCGAGTCTTGTAGATGGTGGTTGATTCGTGTTATGTCCACCTTTCTATTTTATTTTTATTTTTATTTTTATTTTTCTTGCTGATTAACGGGCCATATTATTTCTTCCCCGGAAAAACACGCGCCTTTGGAATTTTTGGGTCATGATGACTTTGTGTAGATTCTAATGCAATTTCATCGATCGTCCTATATGTTCTCGCTCTCATTCTTCAACAGCAGAAATTTGGAATTGTGTCCGAAACCCATTTTCCCCTGTTCCTTGCTCTGTTTTCTACAAGTTGTCTCTGAAAGTAGTGTCCCCTGTTCTTGCTCTGTTTCTCCGAAAATGACGTTAAATCACAGAAAGATGCTCGTTCCATATCTACCGGGAAAAGATTTCAACTTGACGATCTTCATCCCTTGCTTCCAGACTTATCCTCCTCCGCCACCGCCGCTGCAGAAAGATCTCTTTCTCGTATTGATCTGCATAAGCGGCTCCGTCTTACTCCTACTATTTCTCGTTGTCTTCCTCTACCTCTACATTACGCAATCACGGCGGCGGAGCTCAGCCGCTGCAGTGGCTCCGGGTGAAAGCAGCCGAAGAGAAGACGAGAACGAAGCCGGAGAAAGAGATTTGTCCGGCTACCATCACGTCGACTCGATCACAGTCTTTGGATTCATAAAGGGAGAAGGGATAATCGACGGCACAGAATGCTCCGTCTGCTTGAACGAATTCGAAGAAGACGAGTCGCTTGGACTGTTACCAAAGTGTAGTGTAGTCATGCCTTTCACATAAACTGCATCGACACTTGGTTGCTCTCACACAAGAACTGTCCTTTATGTCGTGCCCCTGTTCTCGTTGAGCCTCGTCATCTAGAAACAGAGACGAATCATCAATCAGAGTCTGGATCGAGCAACGGCCCCAATGGACAAATGCTAACGTTCTTCCAAGGGTACAAAGTGATTCGGCAAGCCATTGTGGCTCGGGAAGCTTGGAGGAAGTTCATCACTTAAAAACTGGGGATAGTGATGCTATTGCAACACTGCAAAAGAGACGAATCATCATCAATCAGAGTCTGGATCGAGCAACGACCCCAATGGAGAACAAGAGAGCTCAAGATCTAGAAATGCTAACGTTCTTCCAAGGGTACAAAGTGATTCGGCAAGCCATTGTGGCTCGGGAAGCTTGGAAACAGTAAGGAGATCGTTTTCAATAGGAGGAAGCTCATCACTTAAAAACTGGGGATAGTGATGCTATTGCAACACTGCAAAGTTGTTCTCATCATCAAGAAGATCAAGGAACCAAGACCCGGTTCTCCCAAACCGAAGGCTATCTGTGTCTGGTTAGTCGGGTTCAATGGTGACTACAACTAAGCTAATGTAATGTTATGTCTAGTGTGTTATGTTATATACAATATCTGAAATAAACGGAATGTTGAGTGATATAACGCGTAGAGACTCAAACAAATCAAGTACATTTCGTCGAACACCTTAAGGACTATCTTACCAAAGGCATAAACCCAGAACAAAAAAAGCTCTACACTTTCAGGAACCCATTAGCTAAACGCAAATAAAAAACCCCTGAAATAGATTGCCCATGAAGAGTCTTCAAGCTCTTTCACCTCTGATCCTTCTAGCGAGCTGGATATCCTTAGGCATGATGGTGACCCTCTTAGCGTGAATCGCACAAAGGTTCGTGTCTTCAAACAAACCTACGAGGTAAGCCTCGGCCGCCTCTTGTAAAGCAGCGACGGCGCTGCTCTGGAACCTCAGATCCGTCTTGAAATCCTGAGCGATCTCACGGACCAGACGCTGAAAGGGAAGCTTACGGATCAAGAGCTCGGTGCTCTTCTGGTACTTCCTGATCTCTCTTAAAGCCACGGTTCCTGGACGGAATCTGTGCGGCTTCTTGACTCCACCGGTGGCCGGAGCAGATTTCCTCGCCGCCTTCGTCGCGAGCTGCTTCCTTGGGGCTTTGCCTCCGGTGGATTTCCTAGCGGTTTGCTTGGTTCGAGCCATCACGAATAATCTAAATTTGATCGAATTTTCTTCTTGTTGGTGAAGAATAGAGCAGAAGATAGGGTTGATTTTATGGGAAGAGAAAAAATTGTTTTGGAGGGAAAGTTATTCTCTTGTCCGTTGGATTAAAATTACTATCGACGGCTGAGAGAGTTTCAGGATTACAATCCGTGTGATTCCTTATCAACCAATTAACACACTTCTTGCACCTATCCCTGTGATGTATTATCAACCAATCAAAATTATCCTTTCCAAAAGAAATTCATGTTTTTAGCGCCATTAACGATTCCAATTGTAGAAAATCAGAACGAAATTATTTCAAATAGATAAGTACAAACTTTTACTTGGCGTTACAAATTCGAGAAGATATTTACTCATTAATTAATAGATATTTAATCTTTAGTTGATATGAAATTCACAAATAACCCAATCATCAGAAGCCCAACCATACTTCGTGTTTGAAATTTCCTTATAAATAAATTTATCTGATTCCTAATTCTAATAGGTAAAGTTAACAAAAAGAGATGTTTCAGATTTTCTTATAAATAAAGTTCCATCTTCTTCTACGTAACAAGTTTGACTGTTTGAGTCTCTAATATACCAAAACTAGGGCTTTCTCCTTGTGAAGTTAATCTAAAATTTGTTCTCGAGAATTTTTTTTTTTTAAAGATGCTCTTAAAAGCGGAAATTTGTCTGACAAAAGATGAAGTTGACAAAGACAGGATCAGTGCGTTGCCTGACGATTTGCTTGTGCAGATACTGTCTCAAGTCCCAACAAAACAAGCAGTGACCACCATGCTTTTGTCTAAACGATGGCGTTTTATCTGGTCGATGGTCCCTAAACTCGTCTACTCAGAAAACTACGAAGTCGAGAAGAGTGTTTGGGACTTCCTCGACAAGTCATTGCAACTGAACAAGGCACTTACACTTGAAAGTCTGAGGATCGAACTCGGTCCATATTGTCCTAAACATGCAGATGTCGGAAAGTGTGTCTCAAACGCGGTTAATCGCTGCGTTCGAGAGCTAAATCTACAGCTTAATACGTTCTCTCGACCGCATATCCTACCAGCTTGCCTTTACACCAGCAAAACTCTTGTGAAATTGACTTTAACGAACAAGATTCTCGTCGATGTTCCTTCCTCGGTATGCCTCCCGTCGCTTGAATCGATGAACCTTACTTTTGTGGTGTATAAAGACGAAGATTCTCTTGTTAGACTTTTATCGAGTTGCCTGGTTCTCAAAGATTTGTTTGTGGTCCGAGATAAGCATGACAATGTGGCAAGGTTCACTGTGAAAGTGTCTTCTTTAGAGAGGTTAACATATATGGATTATGATGCAGGAGTTTCTGGTAGGTCTTTGGTTATGGACTCACCTGGGTTGCGTTACGTTAAAATTGTTGGTTCTTTAAGAGAAAGCTTCTCGATTCATAATATGCCTCGACTTGAGGTAGCGTTTGTGAATGTTGAGACGAATTACAAGTTTATGAGATCTTTTTCCTCAGTCATGTTTCTTGATTTGGTCTCGACCCAAGTAAGTGTTTTTGATTACCCTTTTCTCTCTTTCTTTATTTTTCTGATCGTATGTGATCTCTTTGATTGGTGTTATAGTACTTAATGTTTGTGTTCTGTTTTATTCAATTTCAGGTTGCGTTTTGTAGCGGCATTAACTTCTCTCGGCTTATAGAGTTGAAGCTGTCTCCGAATTGCTTTGATTATTATTGGTTGGAGTCACTTATGTTTTTGCTTCATAACTCTCCTAACCTAAAAGTTCTTATGATCAACTCTGTAAGCATATCGCATATCTCTCTCTATCTTTCTCGCTCAAACAAGTAAAGCAAAATGTGTTTCTAACTATTTATTTCCTTGTTGCTTTCTCAGGAGACCTCTGGGAATCTCTCAGTTTCGTGGAAGCAACCAAGTTCTGTACCTATATGCTTGTTTAATCTTGAGATCTTTGAGTGGAAGGCATATGGAGGAAGAAGAGAAGAGAAAGAATTCTTGGCGTACATACTCGCAAACTCAATATTTTTAAAGACGGTGGGAATCTCCCGGAGTTCTTTCTATAACTACAAGCCCGGCGAGAACAGCCTTGACAAGGAACAGAGTATGATGGAGGAGTTGGAATCTTTGTATAGGGTTTCAGCATCATCTCAGCTTCTGTTTTCTACTCAATTGCGATGGAGAATGAGCAGGAAGACGGGGAATCATGTTGATGAGATATGATCTTTTTTTTTAGCGTCTATTAGATTAATGTTTGGTCTCGAGACTCGAATAGTCTTGATTGCTAAAAACATGGTTCCTCGTCTTTGCACTTGGTTCCAAGTGAAGAAGTCAGAAGATATATGTTTTGAATCATCATTAGCTTAAATTTAAGGAATGTGTTGTGTGAAATTCGGATTTTATAATCCTTAATATAATCATATCCTTATTGTTTTTTCAAGGACTTGAAAAAAGTTATGGCAACATTTGGGTTAGTATTAGAAGGTTTGCTATAGAGTCAGCAATACTAACCACCCAATGTTCTCGGCTCCAAAATCCTTTTTCTACCATATCAATATAATTCTGATAGAAATTTTGACAAGAATAGAGAGATAAATCTCATCTTTTTGTTATCGCTATCAAAGAACAAGTAGCAGAGATTGATTATCATGAGTGTTCTCCACTTCTCTGCTACAAACCAGATACCAAATCTATGCTGAATTAGCACACAACCTCTCGTGATCACCTAATGATCAGTACCTAATACTAGTTTCAGTTGTGAGACATGGAATGCCAAGTGGGTTTTTGCCTCTGGAGGCAATTTTATACAATAGTCGATGGTTCCATGCACAATCTCAAATGGTCCCAACTTATGATAAACCCATTGTGAAGTCGAATTTTGACTATAAAGACGTAGATTGGGAAACACTTCAATTGCCGACCTGTGAACTCAACATTTTTATATAGGACTTGTATTATATACTAGATTTTGCGCCCATACTACGCGTGGATATTTTGCTGATAAAAATTATATGCAATCAATTCTATTTATTAAGATACAAATTTTATATATTAGTGTTAATATATTAAAATTAATATTGTGTTCTAATAATTTTTATGTAATTATCAGGTTTTAACGGTTTTGTTTTGAATCTATATACAATATGTTATATCTCAAAAATGTATTATTTGGTCAAAGACTTATAAACTAATATACCTAATCGAACTAAAAATTTTACAAATTAATCAAATGCTACTTTTTAAACATAGTATTGACATGATGATATATCATAAACTCACTTCTTTAAATCATGAAGATAATTTCTTTTCATATTTTCACTTTTATTTCAATTATATATGTGTTCTTTAAAAATAATAAAAAATAATAAATTTTAAAATTTAATCTTTTTTTTTCTCTTGTTTAACCAATATAAATTTTCATTTTGATATATTAATTTAAAATAAAAACTAATAAATATAATATTTTCTTTGTGATTAATAACAATTTTAAATTTGAAACCAAAATGAATATAAAATGGATAAAATCACATAAAATTTGAGAATTGAATATATTTTTGTCAATTGGTTGTGTAAACTTTTAAATAATTTTTCAATGATTATAAGTTATCTCTTCTAATAAGAATGAAATTCTTTTTCACCATGTTCATTTTTATTCTTGTTATATCTGATTTTCAATGAATACATCATATTTATTTATTTTAATGATTTTTATATGATTATATTCAATTTCATCATATTCATTCTTACTTCTTCTAATTATAATTAAATAGACAAAACTGGTACAATTTAATACATATAAATTTAGAAAAATGAAATAACAAATTAAACAACTCAAAACTAAGAACTTCTACATTAATCTATTTCAATTCCAAGTTGAATATACAAAATCTAATTTTTTCTATCGTTTTCGCATAATATATTACATGAGATTATGTAGGAATATGTTTTGTATTTGTGAAAAATATTTAAATAAATATAAATTATAATTATTAGTTATAAAAACATTTACGTGAAAAGTCTTAAAATCAAGTAACTTAAACTTCTATAAGTAGCATAAATTTTTTTATAGATAAGAAATTAAATTTTTAACTTAAACAATGATAATGAAGATTTTAATAACATTTGTTTTTTTTGTTCTTAATAGAGATTTTTTTTTAATTGTTTCTTAACTATAATATTAGAATTAGGAAACTTTTTTAAATTTAAAATTTTGATATATACGAATAAAATTAAATTTTTAAACGCTAATATGGATGCCTTGAAAATAATATAGCTTTAACTGTTATTAATAATAGAATAAATTTTATTTAATAATTTTTCCTATATTGTTTTGTATTAACAATGTAATTTTATAATTTAAAAACTTTTTTAATTTTAGTTAATAATGTGCACTAATAAAATTGACCTTTTAAATCTTATGTGAATGTCTTTAAAGGTATATAGCTTCAACTTTTATTTTTTTATAAATATATTTTTCGTTAACAATATAATTCTAAAATTTAAAAAAATTTCATAATTTTAAATATTGATGTGGACCAATAGAATTAAACTTTTAAATAATATGTAGACATTCTTAGAGGCATATAAATTTAACTTTTATTAGTAGTAGATTTAGAAATCAAAGCTAGAAGATCCCAAACGAGGCCCGTTGCGGCAAGTGATTTTGGTCTCTACTCCTTGTTTTGAGGCTTACCAAATATATTCAGATGCTGCTTGGTCAGCTAATTGTTACCTTTGTGGTTCATGTTGGATTGTTAAAACTACATCAGATGCCATGTTATTTCAAAAATCTTCCTTGGATACCTCAGTCTCCTTCGTCTTAATGACGGAAACCTCTTTCTCTATTTACAGTGCTTCGTTTTTCAAAAGTGTCGAATATCAATCAATTGACATGTTTCTCGGATTTCTTGAAATTTATCATTTTTCTCAAATTTAGTAGCCAAGCTTCGGAGATTTTACGGTCATTTTATATATATTATAACAGTTTATAGTGGCTTTATTTATATCTCTTTTCATTGTATTCTTTGTTATATAGATAATAGATAAACATATAATTTAGTT